CACTCGAACAATTTAAAGAAATTAAAAAAAAATATTATCATTATTGTTGAAAGGGATTCTGCACAAACTCATTGAATAATGTTTAAAAAAACTCAGACAAAACGGAAAGTACAAACATAATGTTTATATTCTTCTAGAAATTTTATTGAAAACAAGTTCCAATATAGGTATGTATATAAATATTTTTTTCAATATTTATTTAAATTGAAAAGAAAGAAGTTAATAGGGTATTTTGCGATTACATTTACGTGTTTATCAACAACAACAGTAAATAGTTTTCATACAAGATTTGTAATACACTAATACACACTAAAACATACGCCAATGAATAAATAAAAAAGACTTGCTGTTCTTTCTAAGATTAGATTGAATTGAAAATGTTCCCTCAAACGAATTCTAAAGAAACGTTCTGTCTGTCCTATATAAAAGGAATCACACTTTGTTGGCGATTGTTAAACAGACAGGTATGTTACCAAAGTATGTGAGATAGACATACTTTAAGATTTTATTTTTTTTGTATGCACGCCCCCAGTCAAGAGGAGATACATCCTCATATTTTACACATCAATAAATTCTACTGCTTCTGTTTCTTCCAAAATCATTTTATTTATGTAAAATTTTTAATTGGAATTTCTATCCCATGCAACATTATTTTTAAAAAATCAAAAGTTCAACTATTTTACAACTAAGTCTAAAATTTACTACAATTTTATTTTTGAAATAAAACTAAGAGCAGATAACATATCTTTTACAAAATTCCTCAAACCTACGTAAAACCTATTAAAGCTTATACAGTAACAATTAAAAAGTAACAAAACCGATAAAGATCATTAAGCACACTGTTAAGATATACTCTGTGCACAATTATTTAATACGAACAATCAAAAACTTAAAAAGCTTTTTGTGATAATGGATGGGATTTATGGGATCGTTATGTAAGTTTTCTATTAACGGTAAAGTTTACATTGTCACTTATGCAAACATCTTAAGGCCAAATCGAAAAACAAATTATTTTCTTATTTTTTCCACTTCTCAAATGTATTTCATATTTAGAAAAGAAGGAATTGGAGATCAAGGCCAGATTCAGATCAGGTTATGAAACTAGAGCAAATAGACATTGGAAGTCTGAGAAGAACAGACTATGCAGGCTATTTTAAAGATGAAAATTAAACTTTACAACACAAATTTGAAAGATGTAAGTTCACGAAACTTGAAGGAAAAGGCGAGAAACAACAAACGATAGAAGAAATCATGCGAATAATGCGAAACATCATCATATGGAAAAGAATAGAGAAGAAACGAAAGAATAGTAGTACATATATACATATACAATATATGAAAAAGCAAAACATAATAAATTCAATGTAATAAATTGTTAAAAAAGAGAATAAAGTATCTACCTATATAGGAAAGAACGTAACTGTCTTATTGTTCCTGTAAAACAAGCTATAGCATCATCTACATATCTTAAGTGTCATATTCAATTTCATAATTTTATTATTTAGCTGGTTTTACCCGCCCGGCTTCGCTCGTGTTGCTGCCCTGTCAATGAACAACGACAACCACCTAAAACTATTTTTTCTCTGTCCTTCGCGAATAGCATTTTTTCTGGATAAAAGATACCCCATGTTCTTTTTTGTACCCCTGACATGTGTATACAAAATTTCATGATAGGTTTTACCCCGCGGCTTCACTCGCTTTGATTTCCTAAAGGCGCGCCGAAGATTATCGACGATCACATAAAACTAATTTTTCAATCTCTCGGGAACAGTATTTTTTCTGTATAGAAGGAACCCTATGTCCTCTTCTGTACTACGGACAATGATAGGTTTTACACGCGGTTTCGCTCGAGTTGATATCTTAAATACGTATCGAGGATTATCGACGACCGCATAAAATTGTTATATCCCTCGGGAACAGTATTTTTTTCAGGATAAAGGTACCCTATGTCCTCTTCTGAACTATTGACAATGTGTGTACAAAATTTTATGATAGTCGGTTTAATAGTTAAGCCGTAAAATAGTAACAAACAAACAAACAAACACACGTCTCATTTAAAATATTAATTACGATTAGGATTATCTACGTGTCGCATGAAAATGTTTGGTAGTATGGGACGTTTTACATTTTTTAATTATTTAATATTGTTACTTACATTACTTTCAATAATCTAACAAAATATATTTTACTCGTTGGTCAATAATTAGATATAGAACAATAAATATCAATTCTAAATCAAACTTTTACCTTTTAATGCCCATACGTGTTTTTGATCTAAAGCATCCAAAAAAGTCCTTAGGTCGTCGGCACAGGACGTGTTGTAGTCCTGGATATCGGAAATCCATGATATACCATACACCGGTGATTGGGCCCTTAAAAACTCGTCAATGTCTCTACCTAACACTCCAACCGCGATTGTACACAATAAGAAAAATGTAAAGAAATTTTCACACATTTTTGTTTACAACTTTCAATCGCGGGAAAACAGCAATGTACATCAGCACGGCAAATTTTAAAATCCGAGGGTGAGTGAAGTAATCTAAATAAGACGTCGTCACGCCCCTTTCGGGCTTAAGAAGCCACAGCACAGTGGTGGGATATTAAACTAAGTGGGGCCCAAGGTCGCAAACAATTTTTTCGTTCCTTCTCACCTTTGCTGTATAACTCACGATTGGCCAACTTGATAACGATAATAGCTATGTCGTTAAAACCTCAATCAATTCATTGACATTTTTCGTGTGTCAGATTTTGGCAAAAAATTAAATAATAATTTTAACAAAAGCAAAAAAATAATTTAACTTTCTTTAACTACCAAAAAAACCAACTTAACAATTATTAAAAATTACTAGCAATGTTCTTGTAAACGATCTGCCACTTTCAATGTTCTTTTTTAAGGAATCCAGCACAAATAATGTCACTTACACTTACAGTCTAATAACACGTCGATGCAACGTGTAGATACGTAACAACAACTTTTTTCGCAAAAGTGATAATTTCGATGGTAAACTATTTTTTTAACTAGCGCGCAATTGACAATCACATATCGTCGCTCGAAAATATTGAAAGGTTGCCGAATATGACCACGGTTCAACAGTACAAATAATAAAACATAAAATGTGCAAACAACATATATATATATATATATATATATATATATATAATTGTAACAAAAATTGATATAGAAAAAAGTAAAATAAAAAANTATACAAATTGATGCGGAGATAAGTAAATTCGACCAATGAATTGTTTAGTATAACAACAATAAAAGAACCAAACCCCGAAAAGTCATCCACCCACGTTGATAACAACTAACATAAATAAATATATCCTATTCAGTTACTTATTATTATTAGTTGTTGCTAAATGTAAAGCTTTCGGCGATAATACCAAATAAGCTTTTGATTTCATTAATCATTATTTAATATTGTCTGTAATGTATGCAATAGAATCCATTACGAGAAGAATTCTTTAATATCATTAAGTAAGCTATAAAAATACATTTGAAACCAAATTTATAATTCAGCCAAATATGCGAGAAACCCAAAATACATCCACATACAAAAGAGAAAAAATAATTGTTCTTGTAACAGTAACCCAGACAGGTACTTAAAAGATTGTAAATCCTTAAAATGGACTCTTAGGAGTTCGTAAACTTCCTTCCGATAATCAAAATTACTCCAAATGTTTCATCGGTTGAGCTGATTGAGTACTAATCATAATCATTCCAGTGACGACTTAGTCTTAATCATTTAACCTCTAAAAACTCATCCGGCGAAAAGAATTATGGCGTGCTGATGATACCAAATAATTTCGATAAATAACTAATAACTAGTAAAGAATTTAATCCATTAAAAAGAAAAGATCAAAATCATAACAATAAAAAATTATAGGTAAAAACTTGTTTTATTTCTGAAAACACCATTAAAGAAAAACGCTTTGTAATGAAGGTCAATGTACACCATTTGCAGAAACATGTTAATTACACGGAGGAGCCCAGCAGATAATAATTAAAAATGAATTTGCAAATTTTACCTTTCGGGTGTTTCAAGCTTGAAATATTATAACACTGTCGTTTTCATGAGCAGCCTTGATTACCAGAACCTTCCTGTACTATACAGTACATATAACGTTAAGATCAATAAATAATAAAAGCAATTTAGTCTCCTACTAGTTTTTAAGTAGTTTTTAAATGCTACTTTCACCAATAATTTTGCCATTGTTTTTAATTTTTTAATTACGATATAATAAGCAATTATAGAACTAATGTTACCTTGAGGCAAATAATTTTAACAGTGTGTACCAACTGTTAATTTATTGAATAGTAAATTTGTGTTTTATTAATGAAAATTATATTTTTGTTATCTTATTAATTCCTTGCTCTTATTTAAAACTGTTAATAATACAAGGATCAAATAAGTCGGTGATGCCGAATTCCCTCCCGCAGGTAATTTTGGTTAAAATATAGATAGTCGAATTCTCTCCCGGGTACTAGCCGAGTTCCCTCCCGTTCATATCAGCTCCGATAATTAAGTTAACGACTACTTACCGATTTTATTTATCGAAAATAAATATATATTTATAGTGCACTTCAGTACTTCAGTAAATTAAAAATAAAATAATTTCAGAAAGAAAACACATATCAGTNACGTTCAATCAAAACCAGATTTAAAGAACATCTAGCTCATGCTAGGTTTGGTAGAGAAGAAAAATCTAGTGTTGCCCAACATATTCTTACTGATGGACATAATATTAATATTAATAACCTTAAGTTAGTTAAAGAAGTTAGGAATAATCGTTTACTAAACAGTTTTGAAAGTTTATACATTTATAAAAATAAACAAATTGTTCTTAACAATGACAACGGTCCCATCCCTGGATCTCCGCTATTTAGTTTAGTTTAATTACGTTTATGATGATGATGTTAAGGTCCATTGAACATCTACCTTGTTGGCTTCGGGTCATGTTCACTGAACCTTAACAACTATCAGTATAAATTAGGATTAGTTCTCATTTAGGTTTAGTTTACTTCAGTCCCTGAAGAAGGTAACTTTGTTACCGAAAAGTGCTTCGGACAACTACAGTGTCTTGTTTTGGCGTTGGGGTTTTGAGCTATTCTGTTTGTTCTACAACAACCGCCAAAGTTTTTCCAATCTTCATATTTGCTGTAAAGTCAATAAAAATAGGTACAATTGGTCCTAATAACCAAAGTGGACAAAACAGGACGATAGATGAAAGTAAAATGAAGCAAATTTTTGAGAAATGGTTAGTAGTTAGTATAACAGAACATATTAGAGTGGCTATCAAAGTCTTGGACTAACTACGGACAGCTAGACAGTACATACTATCGCCAATAGTGGTATTTTTTATTATAGTGGTGGAGTATGATAATAAACTTTTTTTGAAACTTAAAAAAGCAACAGTTTTGTTTTGGATTAATCCTTTGAATAATTAAATTAAACCGGTTGACTTTCTGGGTAGGAGAAGTTAACTTTTGGCATACTGTTATCGTTGCATTATTAAATAATAACCCATTAAAAATGTAAAAAAAGTTGTCCTAAATAATTCGCTCACGACCAACATTTTTTTAACTAATGGTCCCTAATAAGAATATTACTCATGTAAACATATGTACGTCTCTACATGAATGTCTAATCAATTTTTTATTTTTACTTTTTTATATATGTACTTATAAAAAATTAAAATGATTTGCTTGTTAATAAAATCTACTGGGAATATTAATTAGGTCTGGCATTCAATGTTAACTGCTATCATAAAACATGAATTTCAAAATTAAAAAGAAATGGCTTGTGTCTTTTTATAAAGTTGTACTGTTATTACATATTAAGCATTTCTTCTCTTTATTATCATCATCGTCATCATAAGATCGTCAGTACTAATAAGACTGGTTGGACACGCACCTTCACTCTTTCCTATCATGAGCAAATCTTCATATTTCCCTACCACTAGAACATCCCACATGCTTTTAACTATTTATGAACAGCAATTTAATGTAGGTCTACATCTACCCTTCTAACTCCTGTTTCTCCCAATATGTCTCTAACTAGTCCATCATGCCTGAGAAGGCGTCCTATAGTCGGAACGACAAAATCTTATTTCCATTTGGGACTGTAGTCATTTACTGTGTTATGAACACTTGCTTTTTAAGTTAGGAAATGCTTCAAATGTTGAGTACAGACAAAGTGAAAAGAGATAAACAAATAATAGTAAGCGGTGCCCAAATTTTGCTTGTCTGCTTCTCTTTCTGTTACACATCAATTGCTCTAATGTTATTCCTATTTCTTGATTAGTGTTCGCTACAATTCCTACCTGACATCTCTTTCTGATGTTTACGAAATGCGAAAATGCCATAGTTTTATTGTGGACTATGCCAATTTTGAACGTCTGAACTATACCAATCTACCTTGACTTCCATAGCGTCACTTGTTCTCCTACTCTTTCTAATATCACCTCATTTTTAACCTTCTCTATTCACGGTATCCTCATCATCGCCTGTAACATCCAAGTAACACCACATTTTTGAACGCTTTAAATCTAAAGATTAAAAATACTGTCTATTTTTAAACTATCAACGGTGCAATTAATATAAAACTTGTTGCTATTTATAATAAATAAACGTTTCACAGTTGACTCTTCTACCGCTATTTATTATAAATGCTATCCAAAAATTTTAAAATGAGACAAGTAACAAAATTCTACGTAAATATAAGCAATGACATAAGTCACTATTTTTTCAATCGTAGAAATTATAATTTGAAATTTATAAGTCCAGTTTTTTTCGAAATTGACATTATTAAATCGTTTATAATTACAAAACTGATCGCGAATATACGTAAATTATGAATACGCATGCATTTCTGCCACGTGTACTGATGAACAAAATTGTATTAATTTAGGTCTTACAGAATTTTGACAATGAGACCAAAATAAACACTCGAACAATCAAGCCCATGTACAACAAAGCTCAACATTGTTTGAAATAGTCTAATAAAAAGTCAATTATGAGTAAATTTAGTAAATAAATTTAAAAAAAATAACCATACAACAAATATTTAATACTATATGGTCCATTTTGACATTTAATAGGGGTGATATTATTAATGAAAATTCATATTTATTTTTCATTTTCCCACTGTTGCCACAACAGCAACAATTTTCCTTTAATTGAGGTAATTTGTAGTGGGAAAATT